TTACTTGGGGCCAAACAGCTGTCTCAAGCCCTTCACTGCTTTTAATTCCTGTTCAAGTCAATATATTTATCCCTTTCTTTGATAAGAATCTATTGCACACCAACTACATTTTAGAACCTACTCTATGACTTTGAGATACTAGCCATTCGCTAGAGGAAAGTAACTCATGAACTGCATTGCGATGCATTAAGATTGATAGTATAGCAGGGTAAAATACATGTCACAGATGGGGGTCCTTCATAGGAAGGGATGTAAGATTGTCTGTGGGACTGGATTTCTTGGAAAGATTGGGAAATGTCCAGACAAAGGCACATGGAATGGAGATTCCAAGAAAGTGAGAAAAATCATGCAAATGTACTGAGTCTTGTAGTTGAGTAATGGAACAGAAGAACTGGAGATGTAGCAGGTAAAATTAAATGACTTGAGCATTACATTCAAAGGGCTTTGAAAAACGAGGAAAAAGAAACAATAAGATCCAAATTGTTCAGCACAGGCATGATATGGCCAGATTCTGTTTTTCAGGTGTAATTTAGCAATCTACATTGAAAATTATCCGGGGTAGGACAAAGGGGACCTGTGGACAAAAGATCAACCAGCACTCAGATGATGACTGATGAGGGCATTTCTTGAGCCATAGCAAAGGAGTTGGAGTGAAGGAGCGAGATACAGCAATTAGAATTGCTAGTCAACTTGATATGTGTTGTTAGTGGGGACTGCAAAGTCTTTATGGAGTCACTGCATGGCCATTGGTGTCAAACAAAATAAGGAATATGTGAAAAGAACCAATTTTATAGGTGAAAATGAAGTGTGCATTTTGAGATATGGTAAATTTGGGGTGCCTTGGGATATTGCTATAGTTTGGATGAGTGTCCCCTCAAAGCCGCATGTATTAAAGGATTGGTCCCTAGGGTGGTCATGGTGGAAAGTGCTGTAGACCTTCAATAGATGGAGCCGTATGGGAGGTGCTTAGGTCATTAGGGTGTGCCCTTTAAGGAGATTACAAGACCCTAGTCTCTCCATCTTGATCTGCTTCCTAATTCATGATATAAGTAGATTGCTCTGCCATGTGCTTCTGCTATGATGTACTGCTCTTACCAGAGCCCGAAAGCAATGGGCTGCTGGATCTTAGATTAAAACTTACAGAACCATGAGTGAAATAAACCTTCCCTCTTTGTACGTCAGTTGTACCTGGTATTTTATTATAGCAACATGAAGCTGAGTGATACAGATATCCAGTGGAAGTCTGTGGTTAGCTGAAAATTGTGTGTGTGTGTGTGTGTGTGTGTGTCTGTGTGTGTATCTTCCCACATCTTAGAGAAGAATAGGGGAAAATGGTGCCACAGGAAGACAGCTGAAACAATGGTAAGAGGATGAGAAGAGGAATAGCTTGTCCAAGTAGACTCAGAAAAACAATTGTTCTATTTCTCCTTCTGCTCCAGCACCTTTCAAATTTTATATGGAGAACCTCTTCTCCTATTGAAAATTATGCATTTGCAGCTTGCTCTTCATTTCTATTTTTAAAGCAACTTCTTGGATGTTAGTTAAAATTTTTTCTGGAATAGATCTTCTATTATTTTCCCTTAAGACATTAGAAACATTTTACAGCCTAAATCAAGTAGATTGTTTTCTGGGAGCTATGTCCAGAAAAGAAATGCATGAACCATATAGTCAAAATCCTGCAAAGAGGCTGTGTAATTATTTTTAGAATGATTAGGAAGATGAAATGATAAAATGCAAAGCCTGAGGAGCACAGAACAGGGTGAGGGAAGGAGGGGGTGTTCTTGGAGAGACCTTATGCCCTTGAGAAGAAGTAAAGGAGTCAGTTTCTGAGGGCACTGTTTCGAAAACTTCAATCAGTGGTTCACTACCTCCATGGTTTTTATAAGATTTCCCATACCATCTGCCCAATTATTTACTTAACCTTTTTTTCTCTAAATCAATTCACATTTTAAACCTAAAAAACAACTATACCAAATAGGAATATCACTTTGAAATGGGGACCTGTATCCCTTACCATAAATATTTAAGAGGATTCGTTTCAAAAGTTAAAAGTTTCCATAAAGAAATTAAAAATTATTTCATTCTGGCTAGATCTTTTTGCTTGCCCAGGGCTAGGAACCTGAGACCTGTTTTCTCTTTGCAAAGAAATGTGATTTGCAAGCATTAGAAAGGATTTAAAGACATTCTAGCACTGAACACAAATTTCCCCCTCCAGGTAATCAGAAGGATTGAAATAAATCTGAAAAGAGAACAACTTTCCTACTAGGTAATTCAATGCTATTTAATCTTGGGTACCACAACTGGCATTCACTTAACCCTTTGGGTAAATTGTCTTATGATTAAAGCTAAAGAGAGGTAAGGAAAGTGAATAAAGACTATACAGCTGGGAACCAGCGTAAGAATTGGAGCCCATTCCTACTCCCTTCTCCTGGAGCTCAGTTTTTAAAAATGCAAACAAACAAAAAGTCAAAGGAGTCTTTCTCCCTGATGTATCCCATCCCCAGAAGCCTTGGAGAGCCATGCCCGGGACCTTTAGCATCAGTGTTGGTGCTGTGCTCCTTGGTGATGTAGGGAGCAGAGGGAATGAATTGGACAGAACCAGATGACCTCACATGTCTTGAGAGCGGCAAACAGCAGAGACAAAGCCTTTTGCTGATGGGGCCTGTGGGAAACCCACTTAGGAAATCGTATGTGTTGCTAACTTAGCAGCAACATCTCTAGAGGAGAAGGCCCAGTGGGCAATCGATCATGTGTCCATGTGCTTCATGTACAGTGATGTGCACTGGCCCCATCCATCATCAGGGAGAGACACTGCCGCTTAACGAGGCCTCCAGATGAGCATTTCACATCACTTATTCATTAGCTTCTAAGATCTGACTTTCCAGGGCATAACACAAGTTTGAAGTCACTTGAAATGTTTTTTTAAAAAATGACAACTCTCATCTTCCCACCATTGCTATGATGGGGATGTTGTTGTGATCTCTGCTTTCATCAAATTAATTGCCCATTCCTTTGCAGTGGTTTGGGTACAAGGATGCAGATACTGTCTGAGAGACAACCTGGTTTTGAATGCCAGTGAGGGATGAATGCAAACAATGTATATTCTTCTGGGAAAGGAGGAGTGTGTGAAGGTTTGCTAACCCATCCAGGAGTGCAACTTAATTTAGAATGTTTGCTTGAGATGTTTGTAGCAAGTACCAAAAAAAAAAAAAAAAAGCAAGCATTCTCAGACTTGCTGGAAGGTCACAGTTTAACTAAATATTGTCACTTTTAATTCAGCTTGGAATAATAGAATGTCAGAACTAGATTGGGACCGCCTAATTAAGTGCTCTCATTTTTTAAATGAAAAAACCTCAGTGGCCAGAAATGACTTGTTCAAGACCAAGTCATGAAACAGGGAAAGCTGAGAGATAACCACCTGCCTCTTTGACTTCCATAAGCCAAATAAAAAATCATTTCACAGTAATAGAAAAGACATCATCTGGCTACCTGAAGAGAGACCACCCACGATTTAAATGGAGGTTAGTTCAAATCAGTTCTTCCTGCTTATGATAAATACTTTTTGTCTTCTCTATCTGTATAGGTATTTCATAAGTTTTGCCCTTGTAGTGATTAGAGAATTTGCTTAAGATAGACACATAAAAAGATAAAAGGTGAAAAAAAGATAGCAATAGATGAGATTGCCTACTGATACTTTCCAGTGCTCAAAATTTCCCAGGTTCCTTTTCTGAGATGGGAAAGGCATTTGTGTGCATGTTCAGGGGGGAAGAGTGAGCAGTCACCAGTCTTCTGTCATTTGGCAAAAACGTGTGATCTTGTGGTTCCTCCATGTACGGATTTGACAGTTCTGATGAGAAGACTCCCAGGCCCCTGTCTCAGTATAAGCACCTCCTGACTTCCGTGCACATGGTCCCCTATTAGGAGAAATCTCAGAATTCTGTCAGACAGGATGAGAAATTTCTGAAAGAAGACATAGGCTACACAATTGGGCTGCAATTTTCTCAGGCCCTGAGCTGCCATTCTCATTGAGAAGAGAAAAGTAATGCAGAAAGCAAAACCATACACTTTTGTCAAACAAAATTAGATGTCATCAACTGAAATGACTACTTTTGACCACTTTTCCACCATGCCACCCAAAGTGGGCTTCCAGCTGAGGAGGCATTGATCTTTCTGGTAATAACCATAATGGCCCTTTGGATTTGTGCAGAGGTTTGTGGTTACTAAAGGCATTCACATATATTATCTTACTTGGCCCTTATGGCACTCTGAATAGGGATCACTGTTACCACTCTACAGATCAGGAAACTGAGCCAGGTCAAGTGAACTGACATTAGAGTTAGGGGTTCAAATATAGACCTTGTAACTCTAAGCTTGGTGTTCTTACTACTGTATACCTTTCCCATCTATCAATTATAAAAGTCCACTTTATTGTAGCAAACTTGACCCATGCTGGAAGGAAATGTTGTATTTGAAAACAAACACAAAGTGCTTATCACAGTTTTTGACACACAGTGTTTGTCGTAGAAGAGCTGCTATGGAGGGAGAGGCAGGGCAGTGGAGTAAGTGAGATCACGAGTGTGGAATTAGGAAAATATGGATGCAAGTCCCAAGTCTGGACCCTTCTGCTCTCAAGGCAATAATATACATGACCTGGGCTGATGGTTTAACTTCTCTGAAGACTGTAACACACACCTTGCAATATAGGACACAAATACGGTATGCATGCAGAGCTGACTATGGTGCCTGCATCCTCAGTTCTATAACTGTAAGGTTGGCTACATCCAAAGGATTTGCTCATGGACCCAACATAAGGAAACAAAGCAATTCTTGTCTAGGAACTGGATGTTCACCTTTCATAGTTAAACACCACATGTTTTAAGTTTCAAATTCCCCCTTTTACTCTCTCTTGACTTTCTGCATTTAAGAGAGTTTTCTAGAGTGTTCAGTGGACCCTGCAGCTTGTGTGCTCTGCCAAGCAGGCCTCAGTCTCGGCCAGGTACCTGTATATGATGCATGCTGTGTTCTGGCAGGTACTGCAGTTGTTGAGATCTTGGCCAGTTCGATAAAAGTTGCGCCTGCAAGATAGAGCATTTGCTGAATAAATCTATGGCCAAAAGCCATGTGAGACAAACACATTCTACCAACCTATCCCTTAGTCCCTACAGTAGTGTAGTATTTATGATGACCTGAAGTTGCATGATCATTATAAAGAAAGAAACCTCACATTCTTACAGGGCTTTATCTACATTTAAACATTTCAAATCTGAGGAGTTTTCCTACTCACAGCAATCATGAAAGATGAAGGATTTTCCAGGTGGGGAGAGGATGATTATTAAAACCTCTGACCCCTTGGTTCAGTTCGTTTCTGTCTGTACCATCACAGTGTTCTCTTTTCTAAAGTGATGTAGCAGGGCCTTACTTTTCTCCCTTTCCCTTTTTGATGACTTTAGCCATGGCTTCTTCTTGGTCTTTAGAGAGTGACTTTTAGAGGAACAAGTGGTCCGCACTTACACAAGTCACTGCCTGCCCTTCACCATATGGGTGCTGAGTCAGACAGGAAGGCATTTTGTGATTTTTCCCTCTTTGCAGAATTGTGATCTCATTTCAGTTCCCAGTGAGTTTGTCAGTGATGAATGGGCCCAGGTCATCAAAGTGGTCAGAGGCGAGGGTGGTCAGCAGGAAATTCAGTAACCACGTCAAGTCCTTTGTGGCAGACACACCAGAACTAACATCCGTACTATGCAAATCCAATGACTCCCTAAGAAGATGGCCTAGGGGCCATTCCTGCCTGCTGTTACTTCCTCCCATCATTTATCAACTGGGCCCTCAACTCTATAAAAATTCTTTTTGTTTCTTCAGCTTCATCATTTCCCACCCCCAGTCTGTTGTTACCTGTAAACAAAGGGAAAAAACCCCATAGAAGTCCACCTGTGATAGATAAGCTTGATAGTCAATTTGAGAGATGCTAGGGGGTTAATAGAGCATGCTTCTGTGTGTGTCTGGGTGGGTCATGAGGTGTGACCTTAAGAACCATATCTGGTCCCTGGCCCATTCTTCTATGGCTCCTTCCCTGTATCTCTGCTTCCTGGCTGCCATGAGTTAAGGAGCTTCCATCCACTGTGCTCTTCCACCTTGGTGCCAGCCAAAGATTAAAACCTCTGAAAACTGTGAGTCAAAAATAAACATTTTACCCTTTAAGTTGTGTATGTTACAATTTGGTCACAGCAACAGAAAGCTGATTATTACACCACCCAATCCCACCAAAGCCTAGAATTAAAGGAAATCCAATTAGAGCAAAGGGAAAATGTGAGTTCTGATCTGGAGAAACGATGAACTTCACACATTTTGGCAACATTATGTTCATGGGAACCAGTGGTCTTGATCTCTACCCTGGTCCTGGGAAATTACTGCTCAGTATTTTTTAATATAAGAAAATTCATCTTACCCTTCAGTGAGAGCTCGAGCTTTCTCCAAGTCTTGAATTACATTCAGAAGGACTTTAATTTTCTCTTGGTTTGAGTGCAGAGATTCTTCCACAGATTGCAGCCGGCCTTGGAGGTCACAGAGTTCACCCCTTTCCAAGTGAATCTGATTAATGCCACTAATCTCCCTGTTGCTCTGAATTTTGGTCTCACTCCTTGGAAGAGAGGATAGGAGATGATCACTTCCTGGACAATTCTGAAACTCTGGTGTGTCTGACTGAGTAGGGTTCATTGCTGTCTTCTCCTGACACAAAGGGGCAGATTTTGATGCACTGCTAGTTTTGAGTGACACCAGGTTCTGGTGACTGTCACTTGACGCAGGATAGTCTGAGGCTCTTCCTGAATCGGCTGTCTGGCTATGGGAGCCTGGTGCAGGGGAACTGTGAGTCCTTGGAGGTGAGGGAACACATGTTTCCTTTGACTGAGATGACAGTGGGCCAAGACCTTTGTCATCAGAGTGGTCTTTGGGCAAACGCAATTCGAGTTTGAGTTTCCCTGTGCCTGGCATGTTGTTGGCACTGCTGGTGGCATTTAAGCAGGAGGAGGATCTTTCTGAATCTGACCTCAGTGCCCTTCTCCTATCAACTGGACACAGGTCAACCAAAGGGGGTACTGAGTTGTTTCTTTCAGCTAACCTGTCTGGGTTGAGAGTGGACTCCCTAGATTCCCAGGAAGGACTGTGATAGATATCTTCTGGGACCTGAATGGCAGCTGTTGCTTTCTCTGAGCCCCTCCAAGTCCCAGCTTCCAAGCGTATACTAACAGGCCCATTGCTTTGCAACTTGGGCAACCTAGGGAGAAACGAGTGGGGCACTTTGACCCTTTGAGGGCCATCCTCAAGATGCTGAGCCAGCCTTAAGTAGGCAAGGTCAGAAGACACTATGTTCTGTTCAGAGAAGTTGCCGTTGACCTGGATGGCACTTTGGGATACTATCGGCATTTCCACTAGGGACTTGCTGGATATGAGTTTCTTCCTTCTGAACACTGGGAAATGCTTCCTGAGACTAGGGGAGGTTTGGATTGCAATGTTCCGAAAGCCCCCTTCCTTCTGGCACTGTGGAAAGGACAGAGAGTAGGTGGGAGGGTGATGGTGCCTGGATGCTTGTGTCTTCCCAATCTCAGCTGGGTCTTCAGGAGCTTGGACATCAACCTCAGTTAGGCCAGTTTGATTCTTAGTGGTCCCATCTTCCTTGAATCGCACCTGCTGGGATTTGCTCCTGCGGTGGTGGGGTTGTTTCATAAGCTCCACTGACTCCAGGCTGTTCCGCTTTAGGAGCACAGGTCTCACTTTCATATTTTGCTGGGCCATTGAACCTCAGTGGAAAGGAATAGAACCATACACGTCTCTTGGGCACATCTCGCTTAGGTCTTTGGAGTAGCTTCTATTGATGGCATCTCAGACAAGGAGAACTGCCAGCCAGGATGGAGTGGTCCATTCATTGTAGTATAGGTAGCCCTGCCAGCCATTCCTAGCCCGTAGATTCCACGTGGGAGCTATCTGAAATGTTTCCCCTGCAGTTAAAATATTATTCCACTGCAGTCATAATTGCTACTTAGATAAGCAATGAGTTAGGCTATTAAACATCCAATCTACCAAGAAAGCTGGTGGGCTGTTTATCGGGGCAAATTAGGGGAGGCAGTTCTGAACCCAGAAGAAATTTGCTGTCTTGAAGAAAAAGACAATCAAAAGTACTATTTGTGGGATAGTGCCACACTCCCAAAGTGTGAATTCCAAAAGAATCCCACTGTCTAGAACATACCACTTCCTTTCCCAGAGCAGTAATTTTCAATGTAAAACTATGGGAAAGTCAAACACATCTTCTTTCCATGGCATGTAAATAGGTAGAGAAATAAATGACCTTGGTGTTTGCTTCTGTGATGACACATGATGGTCCTATGGGAACATCCTCGTTTATGTCAATCAAAAATTCTTCATTTAGGGCCATTATTTTCTTTCATGCTATTCCCCTATTCTTCAACGAGAAAAACTTGTCTTCTTAAATAGACTCACAAAACCCAGCATGATATAACCAGGACAGGACTGAGGCATCAGAGGAATTCAGAGGGCAGAGTTCCCTAACATGGTGTTGTGGCTGAAGTTCACGTGTGAGCAGAGTGAGCCACGTCTGCAGCCTCTGGGATGAGGAGTGAAGAACAGCATTCACTTGGTCTGTGGGGTGGCATCTGAGACCAGGCAGTCTTTGCAAGAAGGCAAGGAGAGGCTGAAAGGGAAGAGATCAGAGTCACCAAATTCCAACCTCCAAGCTGAATATTTTTGAGTGGGGGGGCCTAGGAATAAGTCAGCCATGCTGCTCTACTCTCTGTACTCCTAGTGAGACATCCACCTGTAGGTATGGGACCCTGGAGCAAAATACCCATCTGGGTCCTTTCCTCTTTCCCCTCCCAGTCATTATGGAGCCAACTCCTAGTTATCTGTAAGGCCCCCCATTTTAAATGTTACTTCCTTGAGGAGCTTTTCTCTGATTCTGTCCTCATCCACATCACAGAGCTGGAGAACATCAGGATTCTCATTTGCATTCTTTTTTATTTTTTTGCTTAAATTCTTTTATTGGTACATTTTAGATATACAATATGTTTACATTTATCATTGGGTGCTTGTACCTGTACATGATGTATCTTGGTTCTTATTTTTTCCCCATTACCTATGTGCCCTTCACCCCCTCCACCCTTCCCTTCCCTATTTATATAGACTTTGTTTCCATTTTTTTCTTTTCTCATAATTTTTCCTTTCCCTTCTTTCCTTTCCCCTTCCCCTCCCACTTCCCCTACCCCTTTGGACCTTTTCTTCCTATTTCATATTATCAATTATTCATTTTAGTCCTTATTTACACTTTCAGTTTCTCACACTAGAGAAACTATTTGGTATTTACACATGTGTGTCCTATTTCATTTTGTGTTCTAATCACATCCTTTATGACACAAATTGCAGCTGTCATTACAAAATCACTTGAATACATATTTACTTAATATATATTGTCCCACTACCCTGGAACTTCAGGAGGATGGGACTGGAGCCAGTTCAGTCACTGCTTAGGTATTCCTAGTCCTCCTCCTCTGGTTACTATAGGTTCTCAATGAGCATTTGTTGAAAGATTGGAGAGCTGAGTCAAAGGCAGATTTGCTGGAAGAGAAGGAGGGCCTGAGCATGGGCAGGGGAAACAGAGGCCCTCGGTGTCCTGCAGGGGCAAGGGGACCTGAGATTTCTTCTGAATGACTGTGACATTTACTTAAGGACAAGATTTCCCTCCAACATCTTCATTTTTATTGCTTTTCAAGAGATAAATGTGCATGAAATTCTCTGAGGAATGTGTACCTTGTAACAATAACAACCAGCATTTATTGAACACTTATTTTTACCATACTTGAGGCTTTACACACATTAATCATAACGACTTGCATTTACTGAGTATCCACTAATGTGACAGGTGCTGTTCTAAGCACTTTCTAAGCCTTAACTCATTCATCATGAAATTCCCCTGAAGAGATGGATTTTGTCATTGTCTCTATTTTACAGTTGAAGAAGCTGAGTCCCAGAAAGGTTAAGGAATGTGCCTAAAGATACCCAGCTAGTGATAGAGCCAAAGCTGAATGTAAACAATCTGGCCCCAGAGGCTGTGCTCTTAATCCTTACACCCCAGTGGCTTTACAATATTGCATCACCTCATTCAATCCTTATAACAAATAATCCTTACACCCCAGTGGCTTTACAATATTGCATCACCTCATTCAATCCTTATAACAAATCTACGCATTGTCACTCTCTTCCTTGGGTTGATGAGGAACACAGACACAGGGAGGTTCAGTTAACTCCATGAAGGAGCTGGAATTTGAGCCTAGGAGGTTTTTTTCTCTGTCCCTTTGGGATTCTGCCTAGTACATGGACAAATAATACCAGTGATTTGAGAACAAGGTTTAAAGGTCTTTGCCGATCTAAGAGATGCCTTGCCACAGCAAAGCCCACCAGAGGGTTTGCTCCAAGTCAGAGGGACCTGGGATGGGGTGAGAGTCAAACCTTCCTGGTTGATCAAGAGATTTAAAAGAAAACGAGGGCCTAACACTTCACATGTGTTTTGGATATATTTGAGAGACTCTTTCTGTCTGCATCATGCAGTCTTACCATACGGATCAAAACCTCTGGCTTCTTTAAGCAAGGATCCTTTGCCCCCAGTTCAGGGGCTGGTGATATCATTTACATGCTGCTGTTTGAGGATCTCTGTTTATCAGGTGGGGTGCAGCCATGAAATTGCTAGACAATGCCCATGACAACTTTACTTTTCTCTGCTCCCAGCTACCTTTATAGGATTCAGTTGACTTCCCAGGGCTGAGTCTGTGGCAGGTCCTGAAAGAGACTCAGATCTATCTAAAACGCAAATGAGTTGCCAACTTGTCATCAGCTCTTGCAACTCCACTTTCCCTTCCCTTACTGGCTGAAGGATTTTTCATCTGTAAAAAGTATAATGTTCATAGTGTGGACGCAAACTCATGGGTCTGATGAGACGTCAGTAAGACAGTGTCTGCAAAGCTCTTAGCCCACAGCCCAGTGGGCAGTAAGCTACAGTGTCCATACAATATTGCTGTTGTGACTATCCCACAGCCAGAGGGTATGTGGATGTTTGTATTTCTGGGGAGAGGAAGCAAAGTTTTCAGCAATGTGCTTGGGGCTCTGTAAGCCCAAATGTGCCTGAAGCACGATCTGCAGCTTATCCAAGAGCAGATGGAGCCACTCCTAAGACACAGAATGGGCAGAGTTTGGGGGAGCTACCTCACTTGCCTCTCCTGTCTGGAATACAGGGCTGGCTCCTGAGAGAACCATCACATAACTCTATTCAGAGATGACCCTGTTGGAGCCCCAGTCCTCTCTGCACAATAGTCCCAAACAATACCACTTTTAAAATCTATTCCACATTTCAGTGACTTTGCTTAGGATTTTCAGGTGGAGAAGAATCCAGTAGTCCAATTCTTGGTTTCATAATTAAGTCTTCTCTCTCTCTCTGTCCTCCTCTTCAGGTAGTAATTAAGCCTGTCTGCATACTTAGAGGGACAGGGAGTACATTATTTGTCTTACAGTCAAATAATAAATGTTTTTATTAATAGTAGCACATATGTATTAAAAACTAACTGTTGCCAAGCAGTGTGTTGGCACTTGACATTTAATCCTCAAAATGACTTCCTGTCTCTGATCATCATTCTGCAGTGTGAGTCTCATACGTTTCACCCTTGCACTGCAGAGCGTAGATATTTGTATGTCTGCTTTTTTGAAATTTGTTTGCCTAATTATCCTTGCCCTCTCCTTCTTTTTAACTGTTCATTAGCGCTTCATTTCAGGAATGTTAACTCACAAAAGTTATGGTTGTCTGAAGCTGGTTTTCATAAGCACCAATGTCTAGTGAATATTGATGATGTGACAGGCATTGTGACAGGTACTTTTCATTTGCTCTCTGCTTTAATCCTGGTGACACTCCTAGAGGCAGGTACTGTCTGTTCCCCAATGTATAAATGAGGAAACTGAGGTGCAGAAGGATAAGTAATTTGTCCCAAACTGCTCACCTGGCAAATGATAGCACTGACATTTAAATCCATGGACTGACCCTGGAACAAGGTTCCTAATGCTGGGTCTTTTTGCCTTTTCCCATCTGGGAAGGAGTAACCAGCCTATATTAGGTTGCAGCAGATTTCAAACTCCCTCCCCATTTCCCTTCTGAAAGCAGTTGTTCCTCTGGTTTTAGCCCTGCCTTTGCTCCACAAAATTTGTATACATATTAGATCTTTTTTTTTGCTTTTCACAAACTGTTGGTTTCAAAAAGATACTCTAGGTTCATTGTAAAAATTCAAATAGTATAGTTTATTTTAAAAAAAAAAAAGGAAGAAAAAAATCACCTGAAATCTCACCACCCAGCAAGAGCCAGTCTACATCAATAATTTGGTGAAGTTCAGTCTAAGCATTTCACTGGGCAATGCATGTATGGGTAGGTTTATAGACAGAAGTGTTTTTGTCACTGAACAACCCTGAGGAAGTTTCTCATGACGGCTTATAGACCTTTGTCATCCTTGAGGTAGACTAACAGGGCTCTGTTGTCTAGTTACATCATGATCTATTTAAATAATATCTTTTTGTGGTTGTTTAGGTTGTTTGCAAACATTTGGAATTATTAATATCATAAATTTTTCTTGTGTGTGAACCTTGGAGCACTTCTCTAATTATCTCTTTGGGATAAATCTTGCTAGAGGAAGAATTAGTGGGTGAAAATAACTATATATTTTACACTTTGTTGATATTATCACTTTACTAGTTTGCCTTCCAGAAAGTTCTACAAATCTGCAACCTCACTATTACTTTACAGGAAGGCCTTTTCAACAGTGCCGCTTCACACTGTGTTTGATTGGTTTATTATGGAGTTTTTTTCATCATTGAGTGCTTTTTCATGCTTACTGGCTTCACACTCCATTTGGTATAGCAGAGAATGAAAAGTTGAAAATGAAAATTTGAATAATCAAGCTAATGTGGAAATTCTTTTGTCCCAGACAGAGCTTAGGAAGTTTGGGGAATACACAATTTTCACTTTAAATATATATGTTGATGTTCTGACTCTTCTGCCTCCTGTGCCTACCATGACCTTTGCACAGACCTGTCCTGAGGAGTCTACCTGGCTAGAAGGGATAACATTCTGGAGGCCCTTAAGTCTCACAGGCTACCAGCTCTCTACTAATTGCTAGGGAATTCCCTGGGCCCTGGCGGTTAGGGCTTAATTAATATCTTGGCCAGAGTTCAGAATCACTCCCTAGAGTGGTCACAGCAGCCAGCTCTATGCCTAGGGCCTGGGAGTTGGTGCTGATCTCTGCACACTCTGTTCTGTCCTCCCTTGATTATCAACTTATTGAACACAAACCAACTATTTACATTCAACTATACCTTTCAACTTAACTCTATTTCTGTAGATCACACTATTTAGACTTTCTCTGGAATGCACTCTCAGTTCTTTTTTCTTGTGTATATTCAGGCAATACATTGAAAGGTTAAGGGGATAGGCTTTAGCTAATGAGCAACCTGGACTAGAATCTTCCGCTTTCTGATTATTGACCTGGAACGTAGGCCTTGGCCTTCATGAAACCACAGAGTTGTTGTGGGAGAACTGAATGAGATAATCAGAAATGGTCACCACTGTCAGTATTAGCTCATCAGAGAGAACCCAAGTAGAGATAT